AACTGGGTTTGGCAGTGAATTTGCAGTGGGAGGATGATGAAGGAGGGGGATGCATCAAGGATGAATTCAGATCCTAGTTTGAGTAACAGGATGGATTTGGGTAAGTATTGGTGTGAGTTTTGAAATGGATCTTTTTAAATGTTCTTCAAAAGAGACAGTAACGATTGAAGTTCCTTTATAACTCATTTTAGTTCAAAGATAGTCATTTTGAGTTTGTTTGGTTTGTGCGTGTATGTGTTTAGTAGGCTCTATGCCCAGGGTGGAGCCCAACCCAGGGCTTGAACTCAGGACCCTGAGATCAGGAGCCAGCGCTTAACCAACTGAGGCACATTGTCGTTTTTTGAATGTCACTCAGCTAAAACTGGGCCTCTGAAGCTGTGGGATTTAGAAGGATTACTTTTGGAGTTCTCTATGTACTGCAGGTGGATATTAGTCCAGGGCATCTAAAAAAAACCAAAAACTGCTTTCAAAGGGGACCACGATATACCACCCCCAAAATATGGCAGCTGGGCATAAGAATTATTTCATTTAAGCTCCTAGAATCCCTTATCTGCCTTATTAAAAGATAAGCTGAGGCATATTAAAATGCTTACGTTTATTTGAGCAAAAATCAATTCAAATGAGGCAGCAGCAAATCAGAAGTGGTTAGGAGCACTCCTCTGACAGGGGCCAGGGGAAAGACAGAAAAGGTGAGGAGGGGGCACCTGGTGGCTCAGTCCGTTAAGCATCCACTCTTGGTTTCCACTCAGGTTTTATCTCAGGGTCCTGAGTTCAAGCCCAGCCTTAGGGCTTAAAAAAAAAAAAAAAAGAAGTGGGGCAGCAAAGAAAGGCATGATGTGATTGGCTATAGCTTAAAGCTTTGGCTGTTTGTGATTGGTGGTCCTTAGTGGTTCAATTTCATAACTTGAGGCATTTGCGGGCTTAGATTTTGATGTGCTTCTATCAGCCACCAAAGCGTTAGAGCCCCCTTGGTCTAACGGTCTCTTTGTTTAATTAATTTAACAGCCCAGAAGCCAAACCTCCCCCAAAACCTTAACATCATAAATCCCCTCCCCAGAGGCAAATCTAATCCCTTTTCCCCACCACATCCAAACACACATTGTCAGAGAACAATCTCAGCTCTTTTATTCTCCTAAAAACACTCATGTTTTAAAAGTCATCTGTGTTCTCATTGGTGCCCTTTCTTCTTCCAGCCCCCTAAGAAGTCATCTGTTCTCCCCAAAGTGCTTATCTGCCCCTCCCTATCCCCTATTATATAACCCTCAAATTCTAACAGCTTCCTTGAGCCATATTTTTCTGTGAACTCTCCCATACGCAAGGGAATAAAAACCTGAGGGTTTTTTTAAGATTTTATTTTTTTTAAATAATCTCTACACCCCAACCCACAACCCCGAGATCAAAAGTCGCATGCTCCAGTGACTGAGCCAGCCAGGCACCTCAAAAACCTGCCTTGTGAGAGGGTTCAGGGCATACTACCATAAAATACGGCACCTTGGCATATTGAAGAGTGTAAGCTGAAGGAGTTTGAGAAAACAGCAGAAGCAGATCTCTCTGATCTTCCTTCCCCCTTCTTTCCTGAAGCAGATCATAAAACCATCATGTGAGAGGTGCCCTCCAAATATTTTGAGGAAAGAAGCATCCTTATCTCCTAGATAAAGAAATACCTAGAAGAATCTGAACAAACAGGCCTTCCTGGGACATCACCATACCCAAGGCCATCTAAGTTTTCTCTTACATTTTAGGAGATTTATAGTTTTGCATTTTACCCTTAGACCTATGATCCATTTTGAGTTAATTTTTGTAGATGGTGTAAGATCTGTGTTGCATGTGGAGGGCTCTTCCATCATTTGTTGAAAAGTCTCTCTTGGCTCCATTGTATTATTTGCAACTTTGTCAAAGATCAGTTGACTATATTTATGTGGGTCTGTTTCTGGGCTCTCTGTTCTCGCCTACTGATGTATTTGTCTATTCTTTTGCCAATACCACACTGTCCTAATCACTGTAGATTCATAATAAGTCTTGAAGTTGGGTAGTGTTGGCCCTCCAATTTTGTCTTTCTCCTTCAATTTGTGTTGACCCCTTTGGGTCTTTTGCCTCCCCATATAAATTTTAACATTTGTTGATATCCACAAAATAACTTGCTGGGATTTTGATTGGGATTGCATTGAATCTATAGATTGAGTTGGGAAGAACTGATACTGAGTCTTCCTATTCATGAACATGAGATATCTGTGTATTTAGTTCTTTGATTTCACTCATCAGAGCTTCATAGTTTTCTTCACAGAGACATTGTATGTATTGTGTTACATTTATATCTAAGTATTTCATTTTGGTGTTTAGCATGCCTAATGTAAATGGTATTACATTTTCAATTGCAGATTCCACTTGCTTATTTCTGGTATATAGGAAAATTATGGACATTTGTATATTAATATTGTGTCCTGCAGCCTTACTATAGTTATTAGTTCCAGGAGTTTTTTTGGTTGGTTTTTTTTTTTTTTTTTTTTTTTTGAGAAAGAGAGTGGAGGGAGGGGCAAAGGGAGAGGGAGAGAGAGAGAATCTTAAGTAGGCTCCATGCCCAGTGCAGAGCCCAGCTCGGTGTTTGATCTCACCACCCTGAGATCATGACCTGAGCTAAAATCAAGAGTCAGAGCCTTGAATGACTGAGCCACCCAGGTACCCCTGGTGGATTCTTTCTGATTTTTCTGCATAATCATCTCTGTGAACAAAGACAGTTTTATTTTTCTCTTTCCAGTCTGTATACCTTTATTTCCTTCTCTTATTTTATTTTTTATCATATTTCATTAGCAAGGACTTCTACTACAATGTTGAAAAAGAGTAGGAAAAGGGAATATCCTTGCCTTATACCTGACTTTAGTGGGAAAACTTCAAGATTCTCACAATTGACTTCATCAAGATAAAAACTTTTGCACAGCAAAGGAAACAGTCAATAAAACCAAAAGACAACCAACGGAATGGGAGAAGATATTTGCAAATGACATATCAGATAAAGGACTAGTATCCAAAATCTATAAAGAACTTATCAAACTCAACACCCAAAGAACAAATAATCCAATCAAGAAATGGGCAGAAGACATGAACAGACATTTCTGCAAAGAAGACATCCAAATGGCCACAGACACATGAAAATGTGCTCAACATCGCTCGGCATCAGGGAAATCCGAATCAAAACCTCACTGAGATACCACCTCACACCAGTCAGAATGGCTAAAATTAACAAGTCAGGAAACGACAGATGTTGGCAAGGATGCAGAGAAAGGGGAACCCCCCCCCCCTACACTGTTGGTGGGAATGCAAGCTGGTGCAGCCACTCTGGAAAACAGTATGGAGGTTCCTCAAAAAGTTGAAAATAGAGCTACCCTATGACCCAAATATTGCACTACTGGGTATTTACCCCAAAGATAAAAATGTAGTGATCCGAAGGGGCACGTGCACCCCAATATTTATAGTAGCAATGTCCACAATAACCAAACTATGGAAAGAGCCTAGATGTCCATTGATAGATGAATGGATAAAGAATATGTGTTGTATATACACAATGGAATATTATGCAGCCATCAAAAAAAATGAAATCTTGCCATTTGCAACGTGGATGGAACTAGAGGGTATCATGCTAAGCGAAATAAGTCAATCAGAGAAAGACAATTATCATATGATCTCACTGATGTGAGGAATTTGAGAAACAAGACAGAGGATCATAGGGGAAGGGAGGGAAAAATTAAACAAGACGAAACCAGACAGGGAGACAAACCATAAGAGACTCTTATTCTTTTAAATTTATTAAGTTGAGTCTTATGGCTCAGAATGTGGTCTCTCAGTGAATGTTTCATGTGCAGTGGAGAAGAATATGAATTCTGCTGTTCTTGGATGAAGTAGTCTATAGATGTCCATTATATCTAGTTGATTAATGATACTGTTGAGTTCAACTATGTCCTTAGTGATTTTCTCCCTTCTGGATCTGTCCATTTCTGATAGAAGGGTATTGATATCTCCAACTAGGATAGTGGATTTCATCTATTTCTCCTCACAGTTCTATCAGTTTTTGCCTCATGTAGTGTGATGCTCTATTGTTAGGCACATATACATTAAGAATTATACCTTTTTGGAGAACTGATGCCTTTATTATTATTTAATGCCCTTCTTAATCCCTGATAACTTTCCCTGCTTTGAGGTCTGCTCTGTCTGAAATCATTATAGCTATCCTGCATTCCTTTGGTTAGTGCTAGCCTATTTTTCTTCATCCATTTACTTTTAATCTATATGTATCTTTATATTTAAAATGGGTTTCTTATAGACAACAGTTAGGTCTTGTTTTATGAACCACTGTGCTAATCTCTGTCTTTTAATTGGTGTATTTAGACTATTGACATTCAAGGTGATACTGATGTAGTTGGATGAATATCTACTATATTTGTTTCTGTTTCCTCTTGTCCTTTGTACTTATTTTTGTCTTCCACTCTTTTTTTTGCCTTCTGTGGTTTTAACTGAGCATTTTATTTGATTCCACTTTCTCTCCTTTCTTAGTACATGAGTTATACTTCTTTTTATTATTTTTTCTTTGTTGCCTAGAGTTTGCAATATACATTTACAACTAACTGAAGTCTACTTTCAAATAAGACCAGGCTGGTCTGAAGGTAGTGAGTTATTGATTGTTTGCAGTCAGTTACAGATTGAAGTCATTGTTCTGCTCTTTCCCTCTTCTCACTACTGCACTTGACTAGTCTTTAAAACACACACACTATGCAAACAATGAATCCTGGAACACTACATCAAAAACTAATGATGTAATGTATGGTGATTAACATAACAATAAAAAAGAGGGGCAGAGCAAGATGGCAGAGGAGTAGGAGACCTGGATTTCGTCTGGTCCCAGGAATTCAGCTGGATAGGGATCAAACCATTCTGAACACCTACAAACTCAACAGGAGATTGAAGAAAGGAACAGCAACAACTCTCTGAACAGAAAAGCGATCACTTACTAGGATGTGCGGAGAAGTGAATCCGAGGTGATATCGGGAGGACAGGCGGCGGGGGAGGGGGCCTCCGTTGGCCGCTTCTGGCAAGTGATAGAGCTGCAGAGCACAAAATCAGAACTTTTAGAAGTTGGCTCTGCTGAGGGAAGTCCCTCCAGTGGCTAAGTGGGGGGTGGAACCCTCCGGGACAATGTGGTCTCAGGACCCTCGGGGTCACAGAAAGACCGGGGGTGCCTGAGTGTGGCAGAGCTCCCAGGACACGGAGCCGGGAAGCCGGCTGCAGAGGCGGAGCCCAGGCAAGGACTCTCAGCTCGGGGTGGCCATAGACCGTGATCCGCGGCACAGTCGGGCCCCTGCTCCTCCAGCAGGGACACGACAAGCGGCAGATCCAGGGAGACTCACCTTCCTCCCCCAGGAGGAGCCGCACAGGAGTGCACCGCAGGGATCGGCTGGGTTTGGAGACTGCACGCGGGGTCGGGTGCCAGAGACAGAGGCGAGGTCACAGGCCGGGCGAGCACGGGGTGCGGCCGGAGACCGGGGAGACGGGAGTGACTGACGGCTTTTCTCTGGGGGCTCACTGAGGAGCGGGGCCCCGGGTTCTCGGCTCCTCCGGGGCGGAGATTGGGAGGCCTCCTTTTTCAGTCTCCGCCTCCAAAGCTGTACGGAAAGCTCGCAGGGAACAAAAGCCCCGGAGAGCAAACCCGAGCAGATTACTTAGCCGGGAGGGGGCAAGGGCGGGGCAATTCCGCCTCCGGCAGAGACATTTGGAAACCACGGCAACAGGCCCCTCCCCAGAAGATCAGCGAGAACAGCCGGCCAAGACCAAGTTTACCGATCGATGAGAACGGCAGAACTCCAGCGCAAGGGGAATACTGCACATAGAATCCATGGCTTTTTTACCATGATCCTTTAGTCTTTCAAAGTTAATTTTTTTTTAACTGTTTTTTTTTTTAATTTTTCTTTTTCCCTTTTTCAACCAACATCTTATCAATCCCTTTTTTAAAAAACATTTTTATTTTTCATTTTTAGAGTCATATTCTATCCCTTCAAGTAGTTACCCTTATTTTTAGCATATATATATAAGTTGTTCTCTCTTTAAAATTTTGAGAAACAGTTTCTTCTAACAGATCAAAATATACCCTAAATCTCTAGTGTATGGCTTTGTTCTAGCCTCCTGCCTGATCACATTCTCTCCCTTTTTTTTTCTTTTTTTTTATCCTTTCTTTTTTCAAACAGCTTCTTATCTTATCAATTCCTTTTATAAAATTTTTTATAATTTTAATCTTTACAGTCATATTCCATCCCTTCATCGTATCAACCCTTATTTTTGTACATATATAAGTTTTTCTTTCTTTAAAATTTTGGGAGGCACTTTCTTCTAACAGACCAAAATACACCCAAAATCTAGTGTGTGGCACTGATCTATGCCCCAGCCTGATCATATTTGATCATTTTCTGTTATTTTCTGTTTTGTTCTGTTTTTGTTTGTTTTTATCTTTTTCTTTTTCTTTTCTTTTCTTTTTTTTTCTTTTTCTTTTTTCTTTCTTTCCCTTTCTTTTCCCCCAGCTTCAGGTCTTTTCTGATTTGTTTAGAGTATATTTTCTGGGGACATTGTTACCCTGTTAGCATTTTGTTCTCTCATTCATCTATTCTCCTCTGAATAAAATAACAAGACAGAAAAAAATCACCTCAACAAAAAGGACAAGAAGTAGTCCTGACTGCCAGGGACCTACTCAATATGGACAGACCTAGGGTTCAGGATCATGATTTTAAAGATACTAGCTGGGCTTGAAAAAAGCATGGAAGTTATTAGAGAAACCCTTTCTGGAAAAAAAAAAAATCTAACCACATTGAAATCAAAAAGACTATTAATGAGGTGCAATAAAAAATGAAGGCTCTAACTGCTAGGGTAAATGAGGCAGAAGAGAGAATCAGTGATATAGAAGACAAAATGATGGAAAATAAAGAAGCTGAGAAAAACAGAGATAAACAACTACTGAATCACGAGGGCAGAATTCGAGAGATAAGCAATACCATAAGGTGAAACAACATTAGAATAATTGGGATCCCAGAAGAAGAAGAAAGAGAGAGGGGCAGAAGGTATACTGGAGCAAATTATAGCAGAGAACTTCCCTAATTTGGGGAAGGAAACAGGCATCAAAATCCAGGAGGCACAGAGAACCCCTCTTAAATTCAATAAAAATAGGTCAACAACCTGACATCTAATAGTAAAACTTACGAGTCTCAGAGACAAAGAGAATATCCTGAAAGCAGCTCAGGAGAAGAGATATGTAACCTGAAAAGGTAGAAACATTAAATTGGCAACAGACCTATCCACAGAGACCTGGCAGGCCAGAAAGGACTGGCATGATATATTCAGAGCACTAAATGAGAAAAATATGCAGCCAAGAATACTAGCTAGGCTGTCATTGAATAGAAGGAGAGATAAAAAGCTTCCAGGACAAACAAAAACTAAAGGAATTTGCAAACACAAAACCAGCCCTACAAGAAATACTGAAAGGGGTCCTATAAGCAAAGAGAGAGCCTAAAAGTAACATAGACCAGAAAGGAACACAGACAGTATAGAGTAACAGTCACCTTGCAGGCAATACAATGGCACTAAATTCATATCTTTCAATAGTTACCCTGTACATACCTCAATATCATAAAAGCCATCTATAAAAAACCTACAGCGAATATCATTCTCAATGGGGAAAAACTGAGAGCTTTCCCCCTAAGGTCAAGAATGTGGCAGGGATGTCCACTATCACCACTGCTCTTCAACATAGTATTAGAAGTCCTAGCCACAACAATCAGACAACAAAAAGAAATCAAAGGCATCCAAATCGGCAAAGAAGAAGTCAAACTCTCACTGTTTGCAGTTGATATGATACTTTATGTGGAAAACCCAAAAGACTCCACCCCAAAACTGCTAGAACTCATACAGAAATTCAGTCAAGTGGCAGGATATAAAATCAATGCACAGAAGTCAGTGGCATTCCTATACACCAACAACAAGACAGAAGAAAGAGAAATTAAGGAGTCGATCCCATTTACAATTGCACCCAAAACCATAAGATACCTAGGAATACATCTAACCAAAGAGACAAAGGATCTGTACTCAGAAAACTATAAAATACTCATGAAAGAAATTGAGGAAGACACAAAGAAATGGAAAAACGTTCCATGCTCATGGATTGGAAGAACAAATATTGTGAAGATGTCAATGCTACCTAGAGCAATCTACACATTCAATGCAATCCCCATCAAAATACCATCCACTTTTTTTCAAAGAAATGGAACAAATAATCCTAAAATTTATATGGAACCAGAAAAGATCCCAAATAGCCAGAGGAATGTTGAAAAAGAAAAGCAAAGCTGGCGGCATCACAATTCCGGACTTCAAGCTCTATTACAAAGCTGTCATCATCAAGGCAGTATGGTATTGGCACAAAAACAGACACATAGATCAATGGAACAGAATAGAGAGCCCAGAAATGGACCCTCAACTCTATGGTCAACTCATCTTTGACAAAGCAGGAAAGAATGTCCAATGGAAAAAAGACAGTCTCTTCAACAAATGGTGTTGGGAAAATGGGACAGCCACATGCAGAAGAATGAAACTGGACCATTTCCTTGCACCACACACAAAAATAGACTCCAAGTGGTTGAAAGACCTCAATGTGAGACAGGAGTCCATCAAAATCCTAAAGGAGAACACAGGCAGCAACCTCTTCGACCTCAGCCGCAGCAACTTCTTCCTAGAAACATCACCAAAGGCAAGGGAAGCAAGGGCAAAAATGAGCTATTGGGACTTCATCAAGATAAAAAGCTTTTGCACAGCAAAAGAAACAGTCAACAAAACCAAAAGACAACTGACAGAATGGGAGAAGATATTTGCAAATGACATATCAGATAAAGGGCTAGTATCCAAAATCTATAAAGAACTTCTTTGGTTGATCTCTTTTTTTCTCTTAACACATTAAATATTCACTCCACTCTTCCTCTTTGCATGGTTTCTGGGGAGAACACAGATGTAATTCTTATCTTCGTTCCTCTATAGGTATGATTTTTTCCCCTCTGTCTTCCTTCAGGATATTTTCTTTATCTTTGATTTTCTGTAGTTTGAAAATGATATGCCCAGGTGTAGTCTGTTTTGAGATTTATGCTCCTTGGTGTTCTCTGAGATTCCTGGATCTGTGTTTTGGTGTCTGACATTTATTTGGGGAAGTTCTCAGGCATTATTGTTTCACATATTTCTTCTGTTCCTTTCTCTCTTCTTTCTCCTGGTATTCCTATTATGTGTATGTTACACCTTTTGTAGTTGTCCCACAGTCTTTGGATATTTGATATTTGCTCTCGGTTGTTTTGTTGTGGGTTTTTTTTTTTTTTTCAGTCTTTTTCCTCTTTGCATCTTAGTTTTCAAGATCTATTCCTATATCCTCAAGCTCAGAGATGATTTCTTCCAACCATATTCCATAGTAATAAGCCCATCAAAGGCATTTTTCATTTGTGTCTCGACGTTTCTTATCTCCAGCATTTCTTTTTGGTTCTTTCTTAGGATTTCCATCCTTCTGCTTACATTGTCCATCTGTTCTTGCATGCTGTCTATTTTACCCACCAGAGCTCTTAACATTTTGATCATAGTTGTTTTAAATTCCCAGTCTGATAATTCCAACATCCCTGCCATGTCTGGTGCTGATGTTTGCTCTGTCTCTCCAGATTGCATGGTGTTTTTTTTTTTTCTTTTAGTATGTTTTATAGTTTTTCTTGATAACTAGACATGAAGTACTGGGTAAAAGGAATTGTTGTAAATAGGTTTTTAGTAACGTGGTGGTAAGGTGTAGGGAAAGGGGAAACATTTTTTTTTTCTTTTTCAAATTTTTATTTATTTTTTTTATTCTTATGTTAATCCCCATACATTACATCATTAATTTTAGATTAAGTGTTCCATGATTCATTGTTTGTGCATAACACCCAGTGCTCCATGCAGAATGTGCCCTCCTCAATACCCACCACCAGGCTAACCCATCCTCCCACCCCCCTCCCCTCTAGAACCTTGTTTGTTTTTCAGAGTCCATTGTCTCTCATGGTTCGTCTACCCCTCCGATTTCCCCCGCTTCATACTTCCCCTCCCGCTACCTTCTTCTTCTTTTTTTTTTTCTTAACATATATTGCACTATTTGTTTCAGAGGTACAGATCTGAGATTCAACAGTCTTGCACAATTCACAGCGCTTACCAGAGCACATACCCTCCCCAGTGTCTATCACCCAGTGACCCCATCCCTCCCACCCCACCCCCCACTCCAGCAACCCTCAGTTTGTTTCCTGCGATTAAGAATTCCTCATATCAGTGAGATCATATGATACATATCTTTCTCTGTTTGACTTATTTCGCTCAACATAATACCCTCCAGTTCCACATCGTTGCAAATGGCAAGATCTCATTCCTTTTGATGGCTGCATAATATTCCATTGTATATATATATATACCACATCTTCTTTATCCATTCATCTGTCGATGGACATCTTGGCTCTTTCCACAGTTTGGCTATTGTGGACATTGCTGCTATAAACATCGGGGTGCACGT